TACCTGTATACCTTGTAGACTCAAGCCTGTCTGTTCTTCTTTGAACTCACTGCTGTTACATATGGATGCATAAGCTGTATACGGCACAGCTCCAGTTGTGACAGCTACAATGTGAGTGGCAGCCCTGGGATCATGCAATGCAATGGTCCTTTTTGAATCAGTCTCATTTCTTATTAATCTGGTGTTCTTCCTAAATAAGTCCTCCACGAAGATTACAACATAAAAACACAATTTCAGAGGAAGACATAACAAATAAGAATACCTTCAATCTTATTTTAGAGCCTTTTTTTTTTTTAATAGAATTTACTAAAATCGGATCACTAAATCATGGTTACTCTGAGATATCTTCTAGGGCAGAGAAAGAGCATTGCTAAATAAACTCAGTGATAAAATGGTTCTTAATGAAACAGTGTTTACCTAGAGTCAACACTCGATATGCAAGTATTACCACCACTCTTCTAAAACTTTTTATAACTAAGATGGAAAGATGTAGCTAACTCTGTAAAGACAAATACACAGTTTATTAAAGCTTTTAGCAGGTTGTCAAAGCTGGGATTTGGGAAAATAGTAGTAGGTATAATTTCGAACAATTATACATGAATACATTTAGTCAAAATCTATTTAGGATTCCTAGAATTTCTTATCTAAAACATGTGAAATTAACTCGTGTGATGAGAACAGTTACTCTCTAATTTATCTGTTTTACAAATGCAGATGTTCATATATTAGGGATTATCTTGGAAGTGAATGTTTAGTAGCTACAAGGGGGAAATATACCGGAAGAAGCATTAGAGATAAACAGCTGCTGCTGCAGTGTCTTTTTTTCCCTTGTAACCTGAAGGAAGAGCAAGGTCTTGGGGTGTGTATAACATTTATCAGGACTAGTTGTTTTTGTTGTCCTTGTTGTTTTTACATATAAATGTTCTGGAATTAGTCCTAAGGATTAAACATATTGCCTCTACACTGAATACCAAATTGTTTCTATTAAGCCAGAATCTCTTAGTGTGTCACCATTCAAGAAGCACATTTAGTACATTTAACGCTATAACCTGTTGCCTTGATTTCACAACAAAAGTCTGTCGTGTTTTTGTTTCAAACTAAACTTTTAAACATCATTAGCCTGCCAAAACATTTTTTTCTTTTTTCCTAATTTTTTAGTTTACCCCACCAAGGATTCTACTAGCTTGTAATTTAGAGCATGTGTTACTCTTTTTCTGTAAAAGACAAGATAATAAATATTTTAGGCTTTGCAGGCCTTGCAGTCTCTGTCACAACTACTTTGCCATTGTGACATAGTGCATCCATAGATAGTATGTAAATGAGTGAATTTGGCTATGTTCCCATAAAACTTTATTTAAAAAAAACAGACAGCAGATGAGAACTGGCCCATGGGCCAGTTTGCCAACCACTGGTTTTGAGAATCAAATACTTCTACAAGATTCTTTTTATGGGGGGCTGGCCCAGCGGCGTAGTGGTTAAGTTCACGCACTCTGCTTCGATAGCTCAGGGTTCATGGATTCCAGGCACGGACTACACACCACTCATCAAGCTATGCTGTGGCAGCATCCCACATACAAAATAGAGGAGGATTGGCATATATTAGCTCAGGGACAATCTTCCTCAAGCAAAAGGATGTTAGGCAACAGATGTTAGGTTAAGGCCCAATCCTCACCAAAAAAAGGAGAGATTCTTTCTGTGAAAATGACAGTTCTCTATTAGTCCTTCCCCACATTCAACTTCAGTTTATTCCTGTGGAATTTACTCCCACATCAGTATGTTTATATTAGTACATTTTAAGTGTTAGCTATTGACTTCCTACTGTGGTCTGTTAGGATTTAGATCTCTTTCCTCCTCTAGCCCCTGTGTCATAGATGTACCTTCCTTATCACTTTCATACTCCTAATATACTTGAGTCAAATTTAGATTAGATGATCATTTAGTAGTTATGTTATTTTGACTATGAGTCATGTAGTGAGTGATTATTACTTTTCTTTTCTGCGTAATATTTCTATTTTCTATAGTTTGTAGTTGTTTGTTTATTTTGTTAGTTTTCTATCTTCTCTCTAGTGTAATACCAAACTCCTCATCAGTCATTGAAATCTCCTCTCAAGATATTTAATGCATCGGGTATTCTAAATCTAAATCTAAATCTCCTGTCACCATCCTGGGTATTCCTTTTGCCTGGATCTCCTGTTTCTCATATCCCATGCCTTCCTCATTCTTTGTATCCTTCATCATTTTAGTGGAGCCAGTAGATGCTAGGGAGAAAGGTTCAAGGGATATAAACTTTTATATACCTTGCATGTCTAAAAGTATTTTTATTCTTCTCTAGTTTGGAAATCATTTTCCTTCAGAATTTTAGAAGCATTACTCTATTGTCTTTTGACCTCTAATTCTGATTCCTGAATTTTTTTTCTTTTTTTGGTGATTTGGGTTTTTTTCTCTCTGAAAGCTGTAGACCCTGATAGTCTGATGTGACTCTCTGTTTTCATATATTGTGTTGAGCCTTTTCAGTCTGAAAAATCACATCCTTCATTGCAGATTCTGTGTTACAGCTTTTGATTTGCTTTCTGTCAAACTCAAATAAGCAATTTTGACTCATACCGTCAGCAGCCCAGCTTGTGGCTGAGTGACTCAGGATACTAGCAATAGACTTCCTTCCCAGATTCTCTCGTATCTCTCTAAAGTAAATAAAATGAGTATAAAGTCCTGAATTGCATCAGTAAACCCTGCAAGGGGTTGAAGAAGCAGAGAATTGACTTAACAGTGTGCTTAATGAATGGCCTCCAAATGGACTACATTTCTTGGAGAAAGTTGAACAGAGGCAAAGTCTAAGAGTCAGAAGCAAGGTGTATTAGTTTCCGTAAGACTGCCGTAACAAAGTACTGTAAATTGGGTGGTATAAAGTAACAGAAATTTATTCCCCCATGTTTCAGAAGGCTAGAAATCTGAGATCAAGGTGTCGGTAGGGCTATGCTTCCTCAGAAGGTTCTAGGGAAGAGCGCTTTCTTACTTATTCCGACTTCTGGTGACCCTAGGCCTTCCTTGGCTTGTGGCAGAATCACTCCAAATTTCTGCCTCAGGCTTCTTCCCTTACTGTTTTTCTACCTCTGTATCTAAATGTCCTCCTTATAAAGACACCAATCATATTAGATTTAGGGCCTACCCTAATCCAAGTGATCTCCTTCTAATTAATTATATCTGCAAACACTCTATTTCCAAATAAAGTCACATTCTGAGTTTCTAGTTGGACATGAATTTGGGGGCGATACTCTTCAACCCAGTACACAAGGTAATTAGAGAGCAGGTGGTCCTGGCATGTGATTTGCCAGATATAATTTAAAGGAGTTATTCTGTAGGTGACGTTACGTAAATAAGTCCTCCAAACAGTATAGATTTCAAACTGCCGTCATTTTGCTTTTACTTAGGTATTCATATGTTTGTATTACTGGCAGGGAAAAAAGCCTTATTTGGGGCTATTAACAATGAAGGGTAAATTTAAAATAAAGACATTTGAAGCTGGTAGATCTACTTTCACATACTAGTGAAATTTATTCACTTGCTTCATGGAATGTTTATTGAATGCCAGCTATTTTACCAGTTACTGTTCTAGGCACTGGGTCTTCAGCAGTGTGGAAGACAAAGTCCCTGCCTCACAGATATGAAAATATCCGCACTGGCATGCAGTGTTAAGTGATGTGAAGTAAATAAAGAGTGATGGAAAGTATTGTGTTAGTTCAGATAACATTTGAACAGAGACCTGAATACAATGAGATGAAGAGCCACGAACCATGTATATATTTGGGAGTAGAGAAGAGCTTGCAATGGAATAGCCTAAGCATCAGAAGACAGTAAAGCTTAAAGAAGAACAGGTAGAAGAACAGCATGATCTGGTTACATTTCAAAAGCTCACCATGACTGCTATATGGAAAATTGGCTGTAGGGGAGCATGATGCAAAGGAGAGTGATGAGTTTCTTATAGGTATGAGCTTATCACATTGGTCCAGGTGAGAGGTGTTGGTGATTTGGTCAAAGATAGAGTAGAAATGGTGAGAATTGACTGGTTCTGGATGTATTTTGCAGATAGAACCACAAGATTTGCTGAAGAATTTATTGTGAGATGTGAAGGAAGGAGAAATGTGATGGAAGAATCCTTAGAGTTTTAGGCCTGAACAACCAGAAAAATTAAAATTACGTACAATAAGGTGGGAAAGGCCATAGTAGAAGTAGGTTTGAGAAGAAAATCAAAGAATTCTCTTTTACAATGTCAAGTAGGTGGTTGGATATATGAATCTGGAGTTCAAGTTAGAGCTGGAGTTAAAAATTTGGACATTGTCAGTCTGCAGATGATATTTAAAGCAATTTGCCTGAATTATTAGTTTTCTAAATTCATAAATACATTAAATATTAGATGTAATCTGTTCCCATTCATTCATCGTTAAATATTTATAAAGTATTGGCTATAAGCCAGGCACTGTGGAGGAAGGTTCTGAGAATACAGTAGTGATACTAGACATTCAAAATAAAAATATATAGCATTAGATAATTTCTAGGTCTCTATTAAATGGAACTTCAAACATTACAGTAGTCATAAATTGTATTACCCAGCTTAGTACTAATATGTTACTTAATTCTTTCATATTAAGTTAGTCTTCATAACTAGATCTTTTAAGCTCTTTGGAAGCAGGAGCTATGTTACACTTTTTCGTAATATCACACATGATGCCTACCACAATTCTGGAAAGATATTAAGTACCCAAAGAATACTTATTAACTGACTATATAATAATTTTAATTGTTCAAGGGCAGTTCTATTTTTGTCAGCATGATTTTGACTTATCTTTAGCAGGGATTATATAAGTGACTTATATAGTGAGAATGTTAACAAATTTCTATTCCCTAATTCTAATTTTTTAAAATTATGATGGATTTTATTTTATTCACTTCTTAATAGTGCCATGTAGTTTTTATTCCCACGTGTTTATTGTTTCAATTTGCAGCCTGATTCTACTGCAACTGAAAGAGCAATAGCCAGACTAGCAATGCACCCTCTTCTGAAGAAAAAAATAGATGTGCTGAAAGGTATGAATTAAATGACTTTTAAGCCATGTACTTAAATGCATTTGTGTATATGATTTTGAATAAATGGATATTCATTTGTTTATTTTTATGGTTCTTTTTCCTTTTGAGGATCTTTTATATTATAAATGTCTCTTTCAAATATTTCCAAATGTAGGAACGTGCCTAAAAATATGGAAGATATCTGATGTCTGAAGAAAAACTAAATCTGTGTTTTTTCCTAAATTCTAATTTGTGAATATATATATATAAAATATATATGCATATACATTATATTTATGGTAATATTGAATGCAATTGATTTTCTAAATATTGATGTAATTCATATTATTACTTATGATGTTACCGCTTAATCACATAATTATGTGTATGTATTATAAAATGTATTGGAAGAATTAAATGCTTTTGTAACAGATTAGAAGATATTTATTTTTGTGTCTGAAAACACAATTTATAATATCCTACAATTGTATCAATACATTATGCCGATAGAAATTAAAGTTGCCATTTTATTTATTTGTATTCAGTGAAGTTTTTAATGTTCTTTATAATGCCAAGATGTGAAAGGATGATTTTCTTTTAATTTTAGAGATTTAAAATGGATACCTCTGAGCAGTTCTTAGAAGTTTGGTTTGTAAAAAGTCAATAGATTGCTTTGTGAATTAATAGTCATTGTACATATTTAATATAAATTCCAATTGTCCTCTTAAATATGTTCAAATAATTTAAGAAATACTGTACTGAAACAATGGTGTTTTTATATTATTTGTTTTAATGCTAAAACAAGTCATGTGCTGTTTCTCTTGCAGCTGCTGTCAAAGCCTTTAAAGATGCAAGACAAAATATTGCTGAAGTTAAGTCATCAAAGAATGCTTCAGAAGAAAATCATTCCAAGGACACTTTGTGTTCAAATGATGATGCCAGTGAGTTACAGCATGAAGGAACTATTATCAGTGAGCAAAAAGAGAAGGAAGCCAAAATATTGGCAAAGAAACCAATAAATAATTCAAAAGAAAAAATAGTCAAGATGAAACATGGACCCAAAGCAGTGGACATTCCAAATTCTCCATCAAAGTCTTCTGAAAAGGATTCTTTAGTTCCCTCTGAAGCCCAGAAGATACCTGCTAACCCCAAAATGAAAACATTAAGTCAAACGAAGAAAAAGAAAGAGTTTGATAGCTCACTTAGTAGTAACAGTGATGGAGAAGAAATACATGAAGAAGAGAAGGAGTATTTTGATGATAGCACAGAAGAAAGGTTTTACAAGCAGTCTTCCATGTCTGAGGATAGTGATAGTGGTGATGATTTCTTCATTGGGAAAGTCAGACGGACACGAAAGAAGGAAAGTAGTTGTCATTCTTCAGTTAAGGAACAAAAGGTAACCCCAAAATTGTTTCCTGTAGAAGATATACTTGAAACCCATCAGGATATAAAAAATGACAAAAACAAACCAAGTACAGAGGCAAGGAAGCTTGAATCAGTATTTTTCCATTCTTTATCTGGATCTAAAAGCTCTAGAAGGTAAGAGTATTTTTCTATTCTGAACTAGTTATTAGTTCTTTTTTTAAAGATATGAAATATCTACACATCCTTACAATGACATACTATCTCCTATATGTATTCTAGTTTATACAATACATCCTGTGTTTAGACTTGGCCCTCTTCAACTTTATATTGAGATAATATATACAAATACTCATATGGTAATGCCACATTTATCCAACGTCAGAAAATGAGATGTTATAGCCAAGTAATTTGTCTAGCTAATTTAACTTTATCCCTTCAATTATCAAAGTTTTGAAACTTTGAGTTAGCTTTTGATTAAAAGCTTTTGGAAATGTCTCACATATCTCACTCTTTAAACAGAACTTTCTGAAAAGAATATGGTGGATTTTATTCTTGATGACCCAGGGCCATTACTGTAAACATCAATCGTTTTATTATGTATTCTTGTTTCAGTATGTAAGGCTGCTTCCAGACTGCTTTGTATTTGGTGATGCTGCTGTCTCTATCCTTGCTGTTAAACACCACTTTTCACAGCTGTTCTGTTATAAATCAATAAATCTAATTTCACTTGTAATTCTAATCTGGTAGGGGATATTTTCACATTTTAGGGTAAAGATCATGGTTAGCTAATTTCTTCAGTAATAGCTATTTTCTTCAGTTAATTAATTTTCTATAATTTATAGGTCAGGGATAATTTTTAATAGATTTGAGAAATGTTGAAATTTTTCAAAATCAGAGTATGGAAAAGATACAACCATCTTTCAAGCATTGAAAATAATTAAATTATTACTTACATCTCCCAAACCTGCCTCAACGGCTACATTTTTTTCTCTCTTGAAAATAACACACCACTATCCCTTCCCTCTCCCACAAAATATAAATCTTAATTTTTGTTAGATGTGACTCATTACCCCTGTGAGAAGACTTTTGAAATTCTTTCTAGATAGTTCTCGAGAGTAGATACAAAGTAATCAAGATAGGATATTTTATGACCAGAAATCCCTATAAGGATGGTGAGAGAAAAATTCCCACATGCTTCTGTAGCAGTATTGGGGTCTAACAAACCTTTGATGTAGCTAAAACCTGGGTTTTTCATAATTTTTTTATTGATTGCTGGTGGGATGAGGGAGTTTATGATAATCCTTTGAATGAGTTTTATCACCAATTTGATTACATTATCTTCTTAAGATTAGAAGGTTTATTTATTTTTTAAAAGTCCTAATGGTGTTTTTCTTCTTTTAGGAATTATAGAGAACAGCCTCCGAAAATCAAAACCCCAGGTATGTGTTAATGGCTGCTTGACCTTCATATGCAAGAGCAATGCTTTGCCAAAATGGAAGGATGAAAAATTCTGGTTGCTTAATAGCCTGAATGAATTATGTACTGACAGATATGGAAACGGCGCATCTTATACTTATCAGTATAATTTTTTATTTAAATTGTTTTTTTTTTCCTCTATGTCTTGCCAATGGGAAAGATATAGACAAAAGTTATCAGGATATATTGGGTCTATTTAATTTATCTTGAACAGTCAACACATTCTTTAAGTAAATCATTATGTAAGTTTTTCTTAGTCAACACCATGCCCTTAAACATTTAGTAACAAGTATGTTACTTTCTGGGTTAATAGTAAAATCAAAGTATTTGCAGATTAATTTGTAACAAATTAAGTTTAATATATTTGGGTAGGCTGACTTCTGTATATAATCCCACACTCTTACTGACTTAAAATAATAAAAATTTATTTCTCACATCACAGTCCACTGTGAATCGGCAGAGGGGCTGTGTTTCATCTAGTCATTCAAGAATCAGGCTCCTTCCATCTTTTGGCTCCTTCCTCCTCCAGTTCCCAAATATTCTCCATTTGACCGACAGAAGGGAATAGAGTACATGGGGGATTTTGCAGGAGGTTTTCATTCTTGCCTGAAAGTAGCAGGAATCAGTTCTACTCATATTTCATTAGCCAGAATTCAATTATATGATGCCACTAAAGAGCTAAGAAAGCAGTCTAACTATGTGACTAGAAGGAAAAAGAAAGTGGAACTTCTTGAACACATAACCATGTGCCACTGACCATCCTTTCAATCACCAGATGCCTATTTCACTTTTCGTCCCACACTTAGAGTACACTTACCTCCTTCCCAAGGAAGCCAACCCGAAGTCCCATCCACTCACTGCATCCAGCTCAAAGACCAGGATCGCTGATGCGGTGCTTTCCATCAGATCTGATGGATGTGACTACTCAAAGTTTGGACCTGTGCACTAAAAAGACAGACTGCCTGCCCCCAACTCATACGAAGTATTTAGTGGGAGAGCGGGGGACAAGGTAACCACAATAAAAACTCTCAGTTAAGGGAAAGATGGGAGGCACACAACATGTCTACTACCTGAGCAGAAATTGTGAAGGATTTGAAAGGAACTGCCTTATCCATTGTTCTTCTCCATGGTCCCTGACTGTGTTCTTGGGAGGGTCTTTGTTCCTTGACCACATCTGAAGTGGACATTTAGTATGATCTCCTTGGGGGTTGCCCCAAGTGACTGATAAAAATATATGGTCCTAAAGATGGTTTAAAGTCTTAGCAGTCAGAAGTTTTTTCCAGCCCAGGTTTGTGATTTCGTTCACAATGTAATTCCCTCAAAAGTTTAGTGGATTTCTGACCTCTTTGTTTTCAGTCAGTTCATCCATGAGCTTGTTACCATACCAAAAATTCTTTCCTTGAGCTAGTTCTCAAACTTTCCTTATTTATGTTTATTTTATGTAAAAAGCCCTTATGTGGGTTTTTTCCCACCCCCACTATCTTTCAGTGTCTGCTGCATTGAAACTCGCAGGTTTGGTTGGGAAGGCCATACCTTACCTCTTAACCTCTGCTCCAGGGCTGAATTCTATGCGCCTTTACTGCTTAAAATCTTTCTCAGTCTCATCTGTTACTGTTTGGAGTCCAAAAGCTTTTCTAAACCTTAAGTTCCCAAATATCTGGGCTCTCTCTTCCCTTTAGTTTCTGCCTGTGGGCTGGCCGATTTTTTCCTGAACTCTTCTCTTTTTTGTAGTACATTGCCAAAGAGCCATCAGTACACTAATCTCTTTATTCTTTCCAACCACTTAACCTGATGCTGCAAACTCCAGAGGTATGTAGCCTGCTTCCCAAGTTTTCACTGGCAAGTTTTACCTGTTTCTGCAGCACATAGGATTGCTCACTTTTTGGCCTCAGATATTCATTTCCTACCACTTACTGCTGAACTGCTAAGCCAATGCCAAATTTAATGGCGGTACCCTCCATCAGAATACCACTTCCAGTATTATTCATAGTAGACTACCTGCTGTAACAAATAACTGCCAAAATTAAGTGATTTATTTCTCATTCATCACAGTATGTCTGCTCTTTGCAGTCTCCTTCCATCTTGTGCCTCTAGGCATTCTAGTTCTCTTTGCTCACTGGGGAAAGAAAGAGATACTAGAGGATTGAATGTGAGGTTTTTATGATCAGGCCTTTTTTTTCACATTCCATTTGCTGTAACTCAGTTACATGACCACATCTAACTGTAGCAAGATGGGAAATAAATTCTGATTGTGCACCTAGCAGGATAAGAAAACTAGGTTTGGCAAACACATGACAATCTGCCTTATTTACCTTATATTTACAAACATAGGATAACTGTAAATTTAAGACACTCCCACGTTTTCCCAGTGAGGACACTCAAGTAAAAAGGTTTTTGTTTAGCTTATATATTTATAATATTTAATTTATCAATTTATTTACGATACAAATTTACTTTGCATAATTATATAAAATATATATTAGTTTAGAAATACTGCCTTTTTTAAATCTCAGTTTTCAGGGCAGGCCCAATGGCACAAGCGGTTAAGTGCGCGCGCTCCGCTACGGTGGCCCGGGGTTCGCCGGTTCGGATCCTGGGCGCGCGCCGGCACACTGCTTGGCGAGCCACGCTGTGGTGGCGTCCGATATAAAGTGGAGAAAGATGGACACGGATGTTAGCCCAGGGCCAGTCTTCCTCAGCAAAAAAAGAGGAGGATTGGCAGGTGTTAGCACAGGGCTGATCTCCTCACAAAAAAAATAAAATAAAAAAATAAATCTCAGTTTTCATGAAACAGTTTCATTTAAACTCTTCATCCTTCATTACTAGAGCTACTCTGAGTATTATAACATAGATTTGTAGGGCACATATAATTGGTACAAAATACAGGACATTTTGAATCTGTGTACAGTGATGTTTTGGAAATGTTATCCCAAACTGTGTGCACTTGTTTGTTTAACGTTAATGATGTTTGCTTTTTAAGTAGATCTTTAAAAGGATTTTGATAATGATGTCTAGCTTGCAGTAGAGAAAGTATTCACCCCTCGGACTGATTAATAAATCTATATTAAATTTTTTGCCTCCCTTTTTCTTTCTAATTCTTAAATGTACATTGATTCATGTCTTTTCAGACTAGTATGTCTCCCCCAAACAGTACTTTGTTGTTCAAAATAATGTAGTTCAACTTCCTCATACTATAAGAGGCTGTAAGGACTAAAATGCAAGTTGCCACCCTCATATCTGGTAGATAACTTTATGACTAAAAAATAACTTTGTCTTATATTTGAGTAGATTTAGTAATTTAGCTTGTAATCACAACTTTTTGTTCTGTAACAAAAAGGAATGGAATCAAGTAATAGCTCTTTAAAAATAAATCTGTCCTATCAGCACTGTCAGATCCAGTATCTTAGTTAAAACGTGAATTTTCTGGCTACATCTGCTCCACACGTAGATATCATAAGCTTATGATGTTCCTTTGAAAATAGCTTTTTTTTTTTTTAGCCTTCCATGTTGTCTGGACTGTGTTTCCTTTCTTAATGTCCATGTAAATAGGACAGCATAGCATATATTAGCAGGCATGCAATAAACATCTATTTACAAGGATTAGAAAGCACGTATCCCATAATTGACTGCTCATGTGTATATTTCAACTTCAAACTGTTCCCATTAGACTTAAATTTTAAATTGTGAGGTATTCTATATAAGTGAAACTAAATTTCTTTCTTAAATACTGATTTTAGAAGATGAAATGTATTTCCCTTGTATGTTATTTAGGTGTGTAGTTAGTTTTCATGTTTTGGTTTTTTTTTTTTCCTTTCTCCTCCCAGGTTTTCAGCAAAATGAGCCTCAAATCAAGAGTCAGTTTAATAAGAGTGCACAGAGAGGACTTGAAAATACAAAACAGCGATCACAGCTGCCTCTTCATCCTTCGTGGGAAGCAAGCAGGAGGCGAAAAGAACAGCAAGCTAAAATTGCTGTGTTTCAGGGGAAAAAAATTACATTTGATGATTGATTAGTACCGTTTTTGTGAACTTTTCCATCTAAAAATTCTTTTTCTTTCCTTTTTTTTTTAACCAGCCCGCTATTTAAACTTGTATTTGAATAAGTCTCTTTGGAAGGGTTATAGAAATAAGTTTGTGTTTGTCTTTATTTTGCTTTCTTAAGTGTGTTCAAGTTACGTTTATATAAGCCTTCCATAAATCAAGTACATACTTAAATTGATTTTTAATAATATTTCCAGACTGTTCTCTTTATGTCTAAAAGAATTTTGAGATTACAGCTATCTCAGATTTTCTCATTTATGCTTATCATGAAGTGTATTTCATTGGTTTAACTCTATGTTTCTTTGCCTTGAAATAAATGTCGAGGTATATTTAAAATAATAATGGAAAAATATGAGGCAATTGTAGCTATTTAAAATAGAACACATTTGCTAAAAGTTTTTCCTGTTATCAAAACAAAGATAGTAACTTTTATTATGAGTATACAGGTAGTAAATTATACAAATAAATATTTTTATTATAGTTTTAATTATTTGTGATCTTATACTTTTTGACTTTTAAAATAGTTTCCCAGGAGAGTTTTGGATTTCTGAATTATATTTCAGTTATTTAGACAACATACATGTTTAGATGTAGCAACACAACCAAAAATTGGTTCTATATTTCACTGCATATGAATATTTGTGTTAAATCAAGAATGTGTAACATCTGTTTACTTGGCCACGTGTTCCTATAGAAACATTTTTTGAGGAATCATAGTTGGAATTTATAAGAACAAATTCTGAAGGAGGTATGATTGAAAGAGCAATTCCACTGATAGCTGAGCAGACAAGTTATGAGATGAGTCACTGAGGAAGGGACTACTTTATACTTCATAGTACTGTTATTTAAAAGGAAAACACGGGCCGGCCTGGTGGCATAGCGGTTAAGTTCGCACGCTGCACTTCGGCGGCCCAGGGTCCACAGGTTTGGACCCCAGGCGTGGACTGACGCACTGCTTGTCAAGCCATGCTGTGGCGGTGTCCCATATAATAAAGTAGAGGAAGATGGGTGTGGATGTTAGCTCAGGACTAATCTTCCTCACATGAAAAAAAGGGAAAACAGGATTTTAAAAACCCTTTCAAATGTTTCACTTTTTGCTATTCTGGGAGAAATTTAGTTCTTGGTTAACTAAATCGTACTAATTTAGTTCCATGTTTTCTATGCATTGATGCCGTTAATGGCAGGGAAAGCCTCTGGTTAGCAGGAATTCACAAGCTCTGGAGAATCATTTCTATCTTTTTCAGGAGCAGAAGTATTTAGATAACTGGAGCAATGGAATTCAAGAGATTATGCAGAAAAAATTATTTTTTCTGTGTTGAATGCAAATTTGTTTTTTTAACTTCTTTTTTCTTTTAAATTTTTATTAACAATTTCAATTATGTCAAATTGAAATTAATTTCTACTGAAATTTTAATTATGAAAAATTATTGAAAGAAAAGGGAAGACTTCTGACAGTAACTGCAGGTTTGGACAAGGCGGGTGGGGAGGGAGGGTTCCTCGATACCCTCAGGTTCAAAAATTTGCTAGAAAAGCTCCCAGAACTCACTGAAACCTATTATATTCACAGTTACAGTTTATTACGGGGAAGGGGTACAAATTTTAACCAGCCAAAGAAAGAAATGCATAAGGCAAAGTCTATGAGGGTTCTAAACACAAAGCTTCTGTTGTCCTCAAGATGTATTATCATCCTGGCATTGGTATGCACAGAGTATTGCCAATCTGAGAAGCTCACTCAAGCTTCAATGTCCAGAATTTTTATTGTGGCTTCAATATGTAGGTATGATCAATTGATTGCCCAGATGATTGTTCCAGATGGATTGATACCACATGACCCAAACCTCCCATTTTAAATCGCATGGTTGGTCTTTTTTAGTGTAGCCAGCTCCTACCTTAAACAAAGACACTCCTGTCAGGTATACATAGATTGCCTCCAAGAAGCCCAAGGTAAAGGCAGTTCCTCCCTTTGGACAAGGTCAAGCTCTTTACCACACGATGTCCTTCACCCCAATTCCCCAAATATTAACATTTTACTCCATTTGCTTTATCCTTTGCTTTCATCCTCCCGCTCCTCCTTCTCTCCCTCCTCCTCTTTTTCCTTTTCTTCTCTTTCTTGCTCTCTCTCTCTCTCCCTGTCTTTCTCCCTCTCCGTTTACTCTCTTCCTCTCGCCCTTTTCGCTCTCCATTTCTTTTGTCTTATTGCTCCTCTCCCCTCTTTATATTATTCTCTCTTTAAAAACAGTCATTCTCTGTTCTCTTGTATTACCACAATCCAGTTATCAAATATTCAGATTTTGCCACTTGTCCTAATGTCTTTTTACAGCAACAGAATATTCAGCATCGTTCAGTTGTCACCTTACATTCAATTGTCATGTCTCTTTAGTTGGAAACAGTTCCTGAGTCTGTCTGAGTATTTCGTGACATTGATATTTTTCAAAAGTACAGGCAGTTTATTTTGCATTGTCCCTTTGTCTGGGTTTGTCCAATGTTCCCATTATTAAATTCAAGTTACGCACTTTTGGCAGGAATGTCACAGAAGGGATGTTGTATTCGTCCCAGTACATCCTATTAGGAGGCAGATGATAATGTTGATAAGGCCCATTACTGGTAATGTTAACTTTGCTTACTTGTTTCAAGTGGTATCTATGAAGTTTCTCCACTGGAAAGTTACTGCTTTTCTCTTTGTAATTAATAATCATCTTGTGGAGAGATACTTTGAGATTATGTAAATATCCTGTTCTGAAATTTTCATGCACTAGTTTTAACATTCTTTCATCATTACCTGAAACAATTACTGCGATAGTAGTTGTAATTGCTGATTTTTTTTTAAAATTTCATCTTGTTTCTACATTTATTAGCTGGCTTTTTATAATGAGAAAGAGCTTTCTTGTCTCTCCTATTTATTCAGTTTTTAAATTTATTTCAGTATGATCTCATGGGTTCATCTATTATCTTGTATTTATTTTTTATTAAATATTTTTTGTTACTTCATTTTATCTGTTATTGGCTTATAAGGTTTATAATATACATATTTAATTTATCACAGTCTAACCTCAGGTAGTATTATACCACTTTATGTATGGTCTAAGTACCTGACTACAGTACACTTCAATTTCGTTCCTCCCATCCTTTCTATTATTGTTTACATACATTTTGCTTCTACATATAACCCTACAATGCATTGTTATTGTTTTTGCTGTAATATTCTATTTGTCTATCATGTTCATGTTTTTCTCTACTTCCTTGAACGTGTGGAACATTAATAGCTGTTTTATTGATCTGGTCTGCAGTGGTTTTCAAGTTGGAGCAGTTTTTACCCCCAGGAGACATTTGGCGATGTCTGGAGATATTTTGGATGTCACAGCTGGGGAGAAGGGTCCTACATCTAGTGTATATAGACCAGGGATGCTGCTAAACATTCTACAGTATATACAACAAAGAATTATCAAGCCTTAAATGTCAACAATGCTAAGGTTGAGAAACCTTGGTCTGGGGCCCATTTGGCCCGACTACTGAGGCATTACCATTCTAAGAACTCTACCTAATGCTTCGTCTATTAGGAAATTTTTCTGTTGTGTCTGGTGAGAACACTAACTATACCTGGGCCTGTGTAAGCTCCTGGGATTGTTCTATTAACTCCTTTCTAGTGATTTTTTTTCTGCTGGCCTTCGTAAATTCTTCATACACATTGCACAGATCTGTCTCATACCATAGACTTGAGGGGACACTTCTCTAGATCTCCAGAGCACATTCTCTCCTTGTGCATCTCCGTCCTCTCCAGTATTTTGTTTCACAAATTCTAGTCACATTAACCTATCTAAATTCTGAAGCCTGTCTCTTCAATAAGGCCACTGGGCTACTTTGGAGTTCCTTCCCTCTGCACTATAGTTTGGAAACTCAGGCAGTCAATTGGTGCACTTGTAGCACTCAACTCCTTTGTTTTTTTCTCACAGATATTACTACCCTGTACTGCTTTTTGTCCATTGTCTGAAAACGTTTGTTTCATGTGTTTTATCCAGTTTTCAAGTTGTTTAACATAGAAGAGCAAATCTAGTCTCTATTTTTCCATAGTAGTCATAAATAGAAGTCCATTGTTTATTTTGATACTCAAATTGTCCTTAATTTGGCTAGTGGAAGCCTCCTCAAGCTGTCTTCTCTGACCTTTTGACATGTAAGTCCTTTCTCTAAGAATGAGAAAGATGGTTCCCATTACTCAGAATATAGTTAGTTACTTTCTCAACCCTAGAATACACAGAAGTTAGTTTCAGAATTGCTTGCTAATGCCTCTGCAAAACAGAACCAAAGTTAGATATATGCTTAGAGTTCTTTTTTCTTTATCCTGAGGGCATTGTGGTCTCAAAAGTAAGTTTGGAAGTTACCTGGGATAATGTCAGCAAAAAAGGTGGAGTAAGGACCTCCAGAAAGTCTTCTCTCCATAAAAAGCAATGAGGAAACTCCATATCATCAGAAACAACTTTTTCAGAACTAGGGAATTAACCAAAGGCTTACAGCAATCCAGGGAGTAGTATTCAAGAAAAAAGGCTGAATCTTGATAAGAACAGTTATCTTTATGACATTTTAACTTGCCCTATTCTCATCCCCGACTCCCCAGATCCATGGTAGTCTTGAAAACCAACAGCCCACAATCACAGTGAAAACCAGCAGCTTGGCAGCCACTGGAGGATACAGAACAGGGTTGGAGCTTCTTCAAAGACACATTCCCTGAGAATTGTCATTATTTGACCAGTTTGGTAGTTCACTGGAGAACCCCACTTGCAACTCTGTCTGTATTTGACTTAACTAAGAGGTTGCCTAGTGGGAAAAGCCATTTTCCTGAGATCACTTTTTGAGAACAATTAGAGGCAATTGTTTAACATCATGGCTGCCTGAGGCAGTGAGTAACAGTTGGGACAAACAAGAAGTTAATCAAAAAGCTTAAAAGGAAATCTGGAGAATTCAATATCCTTAGGGACTTGGACAAGTTCTGATGCATTTCTTAGAATTGAGGAAGTTACACACATGCATAGGG